ACGGGTTTGGTTTTTTTGGTTAATATGATCCAGGCAGTTTGTTAGGCCCTGGGCATATAGCCATGAGCATGGTACACTCACTCCCTGTCCACACCGAGCTTCTAGTCTAATGAGAGACAGATAATAAATAATAAAACCCTTTTAGATTCCAGTAAGTATCATGAAGAAAATAAAACAGGCTGAGATGTTGGAGAGAAACTGAAGACAGTGATGGAGTGGGGAGGGGGGGTACGTTCCCTTAGATCACGTGGTCATAAAGACCTCTCCAAAGAAATGAAATTTGAGCTGACTCCAGAAGGATGAGAAGGAGTCATCCTTGCAAAGAACAGACGAAAGAAGGTGCCAGTCCTGAGACTGGAAAGGGACTGATTTATTTAAGGAACAGGAAGGAGGCCAGTGTGGCTGAAGTGGCGGGGCCATGGGGAGAGGGGTTGGGCGGAAGCACAAGCTTCGTAAGAACAAGGAGTAGGGGGTCTCCCCTGAGCACATTCTCCAAAAGTGGTAGAGAGAGAAGCTCAAGACAGGTTTGTTTCGGGAGGAGCAAAGTTTCAATTCAGTACAACAATGTATTCACGCCTACTGTGTTCCAGTCGCTTCAGCTAAAAACAGAGTTCAGGACTTTTCTATTTTCTAGACTCCAAGTCCATCCCTCAGCTTGCCCCATCATTCTTTTCCTCTTTGCCCCTCCCCCTCCAAATCTCTCTGTCCAGTGTGTGCCCCGAGACTCATCCCCCATGTCTGGCAGCTGCCCCAGTCACCCCCTGCTCAGCCCACCCTTCTGCAGCTGCTTTTGTCTTGGGAAGAGTAAAGGGGACGGTTTAAAGGAGCATGGGGGTAACCCCTGAAGGGAGCAGGGAAGGCCCGGCCGGGGCTCCGGATGGGCAGGGAAGACCACAGGCCTGGGGACCATTCCCCAAATGGCCCCTGCAGAGGGTTGTCGAGGTCCCCGGAGCCAGGCGAGTCCATTGGGAAGAACGGTGACCACAGAAAGGCTGACAGCGGGAGGGGCACGCCGTGATTGAAAGGTGCCACCTGTCAAGTCTTCAAGGGAAATCCGAGCCTCCTAGTCCAGGGCATGGTGTTGTACCAACAGGATAGTAAACAATGCTTGGGGTGGGGGGGCAGTCTGAGCCTTATGAGGTGTGGGGGGAGGTTGGAGGAGCGGGGGAGGGGCGGGACGGAGGAGCTGGGGGCTAGAAGCTGCCTAGGCTTAAAGGCAGCCCGGAAGCGAGGCCCAGAAGCTGGAGGAAGGAGCCACTCTCAAGCCCAGGCCAGGCCCCACAGGTAGGAGAAGTCCTGGACCCTTTCTAAGAGTCCTGTCCCCGGCTGCCAACCCCAACTACCACCTTCCAATGCCCAGAGACTTCAAGCAGGTCCCTGCAGTTGGAAAAGCCCAGGCTCCTTTCTAATTCTCTCCACTGCTCTCTGCGGACTCTCTCTAGATCCCAGGGGTTAGGGACACAGCCCTGGGGGGCTGTGCCACCTGAGATCATCTACACGGCAGCCTGTAGGTGGCCATCCATGAGGAGGCCCTTGCAGGGGCAGAATGGGCCTTGGGTGTCTCACCTGTCCAGTTGGGTTGGGAGGTAGACTCTAAGCAGCTGAGAATGGTCTCCCCAAGGGACAGTCCCTGGCTGGGGTAGGGGGAAGTGGATGCCTCAGGGTCACCGGAAGCCAGACTGGTGGCAGGGGATGGTAAAGGCATCAGCAGAACTATCAAGTGTGGCCTGTACTACTTGGGCTTGGAACTCGAGCTCCTGGGTTCTTTTCCTCCCGCTCTGCCCAGAGAAACAGGAAGAGGGAGTGGGGAGCTGTCTGCTGTACTGCTTTGGACATGAAACAGGGATGCCTGGGAGGCTTCCTGGGAAAGGAAGGAGGAGGAAACTACAGTGTAAGTAGGGAAAGAGGAGGTCCCTGGGTAGCGCAAATGATTTGCTCTACTAACCGGAAGGTTGGTGGATCGAACCCACACAGTGGCACCACGGAAGAAAGGCCTGGCAATCTGATTCTGTAAAGATTACAGCCAAGGTACGGGGGGAAGAAGGGAAGGAGGGGGACAAACTTTCATGAAGGGCCTACTGTGTGCCTAGAAGAAAGAGCTGAACTCCTCAGCATATCTGACTGCCCTTCCCCCACCAGAGGTGTGCCCCTCACTCTGGGCTGGGCCATTGAAGGGACACTGAGCTCAGGAGCTGGTTGGGAGCAGCATCGTTGGTATGGGCACTGGACTGGGAGTCAGGAGACCTGGGTTCTAGGTATGGTTTGGCCATTTAATTATTGTCCTATGACTTAAGAGACTTAAACTCTCTGAGTCTCGAATTCCTAATCTGTAAAACGGGACCAGTAACGTCTATTCTACTCAGAAGAAAGTCCTGACGATCTGCTTCAGAAAAATCAGCCATTGAAAACTCTCTGGAGCACAGTTCTGCTCTGACACACATGGGGTTGCCACAAGTCGGAGTCGACTCAATGGTAACTGGAAACACCTATTCTGAACGGTTAACGTGAAGACTGGCTGAGGTAAAGCGGGGCACTGCACAGTAAGCTGTGAACTGCTGTGGAATTGTTAATTCTAGGGTTGGCGGTGGTGTCCTGGTTTCTCAGCATTCTGAGATACTTCACTCCTTGTCTATTTATGACAAGCCTGGAGGGTGGGAAGCAGAGATGATGAAAACACAAGGTGTCTGAGAGAGAGAGTGTGTGAGCGTGTATGCATATGTGTGTATACACCTTCCCCTCTACCACCCCAAATGTGTGGTGCGTAGATGGACAGAAATTTAGGAGAGGGAGAGATGGCTGGAGCACTCAGCCACATCCCAGCCAAGTACTATCACACTCTGAGGTATAAAAAGGGTTTGTTATCATCTTGCTGGCGTTCAGTTCCCTCTGCCTGGTCTCACCAACTAAATGCCCTTGAGGCCATGTCAGGATGTTACCCTGGGACAGGGCTGGGCAGAGGGCAGACCTACCCCATGGGAGCTGATGCCAGCCACACTGAGACAGTACGCCCTCGTGCCAGGCGCTCGTCTAAACACCTTCTATGCATTTGCTTCCTTAGTCCTCCACTGCCCTAGATCTAGAGCGATCCAGACCTTGCAGTGGGAACTGGAGCGCGAGAGGCAAAGGGACGTTCTCAGGTCTCAGGTGAGTGGTCCAGTGAGTGAGTGGAAGGCCAGTTCCATGTCCTCCTGGTTCCCTGGCCCCTTGCTAAGATGCAATTCATCTCCCAGGCTGATTTTTTTTCTCTTACCTTCATATATTGCTGGACCTGCTGAACTACAAAGGGTGTCTTAGTTTCTTGGTGCTGCTATCACAGAAATACCACCAGTGGTTGGCTTTAATGAACAGAAATTTATTTTCTCAGTTAGAAGGCTGGAAGTCCAAATTCAGGGCACTGGCTCTAGAGGAAGGCTCTCTGTCCATTCTGGGGTAAAATCCTTGCCTCAACTTCTCTAACTGGCCATCCTTAGAGACCCTTGGCTTGCAGGGCGGTTGGCTTCCATCGTTTTCAGATGGTGTTGGTCTTCCCCCCGTGTCTGCTTTCTTCTAAGCCTAATCTGCTCCTTTATATCTCAGAAGTGCTTGGTTTAAAACAGACCCAACACTGATACTGCCTGAATAACGTAACAGAGAAAACCCTATTCCCAAATGGGGTTACATCCACAGGCATAGGAGTTAGGATTTACAACACATATTTGTGGGGTGGGGGAAACAATTCAAGCCGTGACAAAGGGACAGTGTGAGCACTTTCCCAAACCCCAGCCTGTTTTCTAAGAAATGGTATGGGTAGTGAATCCAGGAACTGCAGGACTCTGGTCTAGGGGCAGGGAGACCCGAGCGGGCAGCAGAAACAGAGCCCTGTCTCTCATCTGCCTATCCTCCTGCCTCCCGTCCTCTGTCCCAATTACCCAGGTGCCCTGGGTACTGTCACTAAGAAAAATGGCATTGCCAAGGCAAGAGATATTTTTAGCCAGTGACAGGAGTGTCCACGTCTCTGTCCTCCTGAGTCACACCTTGAACCCTATTTGGGGATTGTTTTCTTTGTAATCAGACCCCTAAGAAGGGCAGGGGGATGGAGTGGCCCTGTCCCTGGCACCCACCTGTTTGTGTAGATCCGACAGTATGTATAGGACTTCTGTAGGAAACAGCAAGTTGAGGTGCCATAGCCCTCCCCTCCCCTGGGGCCGCTGGAGGGTCAGATTCCCCTGCCTAGGTCAGGGAAAAAATGCTTCCATTCTTCACCAAAGGAAACTCTTCCCTGCCCAGGCCCACTGTTTCCAAGAACCCCAGGCTGGCCAAGCTGACAGAACCCCACACACTAGCTGGCCCCGAGTTTCCCAGATTTCAGGTGATTTTACACCACCATGATTGAGCTACATCTGTGCCACCTGTACTTGGATTTCCTGAAGTCATTCCTTCGGATTCACTTATTTTTAAATTCAATAAATTTATTTTTAAAAGACACTTTAGATTGCTATTGGAAATCGAAACTCGGTATCACTTGCCGGAAATAGAAGGCAACTGTAAAAATAAACACAATAGAAACAAAGAGTGTTGTTAGATTCTATCTAGATATTTCACTCCTGCCTACTTTGGGCTCTGAGCCCAAGGCAGGCTGTCTCCCCTAAAAGGGGAGAGTAGCAATTGCTCCACAGGTGTTAGAGGCACGCTGGTATCAAATTGTGACCACCTGTTGGTTTAATCAGAAGGAATGCAAAATCATCAGAAAGGCGTTATGCGATCCAATGTTCTTTAAAGACAAAGCTGTAGCTTACGCAGGGCCTTTAGGTGAACATTGTCTAACATTAAGTCAACATAGACCAACTCTCCCACCTTTTGGGAAGCAAGGCTCTTTCTCTTTGTTTTACCCCAGTTAAAGATGCTCGGTCCCATGTCCAAGTAGCGCAGGAGTCAGGACCGAACCCCAGGCCTCCTGACCCCCAGACCAGTACTCGTTGAGATCGGGCATGACCAGGCCTGCTTGTCTTCTCTTTCTAGAGATGGAGCAGAAGGAAGGGAAGACCTTGGAGGACAAGACCACCGTCTCCCCAACTGCAGAGGACCCTGGGACCCTGGGAAGTGGAGCCTCTGCAGAGGCGGGCAAAGGCACAGCTGGAAAGACTGTCCAAGAAAATGCACCAGCTGAGGATGGCATCTCAGCTCAATTCCAGGGAGAAGCAAATGGGTTAGATGAGGCCAAGGTGGAATCCAAAGGGGAGGCCAAGGCTGAACTTAAAAAGGAAGACGGCGGGAAGGAAGAGACCACAGGGGCCTCTCAGGAGAAGGCTGACAGGAAAGAGGAGCCCAAATCTGAACTCAAGGAGGCTGGGGAAAAAAAAGAGGCTATGTTGGCCTCTGAGAAGCTGAAGGCTGATAAGAAAGAAGCCAAGCCTGAATCTAGGGAGAAAGCTGACGTGGATGATCAGGCCAAGGCTGAACCGAAGCAGGCTGCTGGCAAGGAGAAGGCCAAGGCTGAACCCAAGGAGGCTGATGGGAAGGAGGTAGCTGTGAAGACCCCTGAGGAGGAGAGTGAAAAGATGGAAGAGCCCAAGGCTGAACCCAAGGAGGAGGCTGGTGGGAAAGAGGCCAAGATGGAATCTCAGAAGAAGGCTGTTGTGAACGATGAGGCTAAAGCTGAACCTCAGGAGGTTGATGGGAAAGAGGAGGCCAAAAGGGATGCCAAGGAGGAGGTGAGTGAGGCAGAGGAGAGGGAGGAGGCCCCATGAAGTGGGGAAGCAGCCATGTCTCCTGACCCTGGGGAGCAAACCTCCCTACCTTACTCCCTTGGGAAAGTCCAGGCCTCCTCACCACTGGTATCAGGTGACTCGGGTGGGGACGGTGGGGGACAGGGATGAAGCACTGTGGCTTAGGCTGCCTTTAGAGCTTTCTGGGACAGGTGCTTGTGTGACCATGTTCGTTTCAGGAATCTGGGGGTGCCAATGAAGAGCAGGACCAGTATGTGGAGGGAGAACCAGAGGAAGGGGCAGGGGTGGTCCCCAGCTCCCCCGAGGAGTGGCCTGAGGGCCTCACAGAGGAGGGCCATGGCCTCAGCCCTGGTGAGTGGGAGCCCAGGGGGCCCATGGGTGCTGCAGGGGCAACCCTAGGGGAGTGGGGGGAGGGGATTCAGAGAGCTTGCCATGGGTAACCCCAGCGTCGCTTCCTCCTGCTCCTTTCCTCCAGATGGGGTGGGCCCAGATGTGGAAGCTTCCGGAGAGACCAGTCCTTCTGCCAGGTAATATCAACCTCCAGGGATCCAGCTCCAACTCCCCCTACCACCCACTCCCTTCAAAGTCTACCATCACCTCAGCCTGCCCTTCCCCTCCAGCACCTGATCTCGAGATATTCCAGGATTCCTGCACTCAGCCCCCTATGCCAGCGCAGAGCTCAGGGAATCAAAGGAGCCAGAAGTAGGAGGGAGTGTGGAGGACACCTGGCCCACTTCCCACTCCACTGCTGAAGTCTCCTCCCTGGGAATTACATATCTTGCAGCTCAGCCTGCTTCCATGGTGTCAGCATCATCCATAAGAGCATGATCAGAAAGCCTGAGTTTGGACAATGGCTCTGCCACTTACCTGCTGTGTGACCTTGGCCATGCCACTTAACCTCTTCTCATCTATGAAGTGGGCATAATAATTGTACCTATCTTAGCAGATTGTTCTGAGGCTTAAACGATGTGATGTGTGCAAAGCACTTAGCATAAGGCCTGGTGCACGGTAAACCAAAAAACCCGTTGCCGTCAAGTCAATTCTGACTCACAGTGACCCTATAGGACAGAGTAGAACTGCCCCATAGGGTTTCCAAGGAGCTGCTCGTGGATTCGAACCGCCAGCCTTTTGGTTAGCAGCCCATAGCTCTTAACCAGTTACTCTTGCCATTGCACAACTTCAGTCATTAGAAGAATCTTCCTTTATTCTGAGCAGAAATCAAACTCCTTGTCACCTACTTTCTCAGGGAAAGATAAACCAAACAAAACCAACCAGTTGCTGTTGAGTTGACTCTGATTCATGGCAACCCCACGTGTGCAGAGCGGAACTGTGCTCCACAGGGTTTTCATGGCTGTGACCTCTCAGAAACAGATCGCCAAGCCTTTCTTCCAAGTGCCTCTGGGTGGGTTCAAACCACCAAGCTTTGGATTAGTAGCTCAGCGCTTAATCATTTGTGCCACCCAGGGACTCCTAGGGAATGATAAGCAGTGAATATTCACTGGACACTTATGCAGCTTTGTGGCAAGCAAGCTGGGTGCTTTATATTCACCTCCTCATGCGGCCATTAGAACCATCTTGTCTGAGAGGTTTTCTTGTCCCCATTTTACAGATGAGGAAGCTGAGGCTCAGAGAAGTGATGTGACAGTCCCAAGATCACACAGCAAATAAGAGGCAAAGGCAGAATTTAAACTCAGGTCAGCCCTCAGACTTGTCCTAGTTCTGTTCAACATCCCCACCAGATCCTGGAGGTTAGGACTGGCATCATCCTTCTCAGCCCTCTCCCAGTGCCTGGTGCAGAACTGATGAGTGCCAAGTGTGGGAGACACACTGCACATGTCCCTTTAGACTGCAGTGACCCCCAGCCCCCTATCCCTCTCTGTACCATGTAGGAGCTGCTCCCAGCCCCTCTCTCCTGTCTTTGGACTCTTCCACGTAGTGAGTCTTCTCCCAGTGATGTGCCCCAGAGTCCCACGGAGCCCCCTCCCCTGGTGGAGAAAAAGAAGGAGAAGGCCCCGGAGCGCAGGGTGTCAGCCCCTACCCGGCCCCGGGGGCCCCGTGCACAGAACCGCAAAGCCATCGTGGACAAGTTTGGCGGGTAGGACGCAGGCCAGAGCTGGCTGGGCTCTCCCTGGGAACCAGGATGGGAGGAGGTCTGAGGGGCGGTGGAAGAACCCAGGCTAGGGTGGGGGCCTGACATCTGGGGGCTCCTTCCCAACCTGGCCCTCTCTGGCCTAACCATCTACACGCTTGCCCTCACAGGGCAGCCTCAGGCCCCACGGCCCTGTTCCGGAACACAAAGGAAGCAGGGGTAGCCATTGGCGGGGTCAAAAACATGCTCTTGGAGTGGTGCCGGGCCATGACAAGGAAATACGAGGTGGGCAAGGGACCCTTCCCAGGGCAGCAGTGCCGTGCGGTGGGGGGTCTGAGTGGTGAAAGCCCAGAGGTGGGAGGGTGGGAAGGGGGCCAAGTCCCAGCTTCCCAGGCCCTCTGGCCAGAAGTTCACATAGCCCCTCTGCGCCCTGCCCGCCCGCCATGTCGCCCGTAGCATGTGGATATCCAGAACTTCTCCTCCAGCTGGAGCAGTGGCATGGCCTTCTGCGCCCTCATCCACAAGTTCTTCCCTGATGCCTTCGACTACACTGCACTGGACCCCACACAGCGCCGGCACAACTTCACCCTGGCCTTCTCCACCGCTGAGTAAGCCAAGGAGTGGCAGGGCAGGGTGGGAGCTCAGGGCACCCCAAGATGAGGGCTGTTTTACAGGGGTGGAGAGTGGAGTAGTTAGATTGGTGTGACGGCCACGCATTCATTTATCCAACAAAAATTAGTGAGCACCAGGTGCTGTTTCAGGCCCGGGGGATAAAGCAGCGGGTGAAATAGACAAAATCCCTGCTCTCCCGTGGCTAACATTCTAAAGGAAGAGACAGATCATAAATGCATACAAACCAGTTGTGGTCACGTTGACTCAGACTCATAGCAACCCCATGTGTGCCAAAGCAGAATTGTGGTCCACAGTGTTTTCAATGGCTGTATTTTTCGAAAGCAGATCACCAACCCTCTCTTCCGACGTGCCTCGGGGTAGACTCAAACCTCCACCCTTTTGGTCGGTAGCCGAATGCTTAAGCATTTGTACCACCCAGCAACTCGAAACACACAAATAGATATTACATATAATGCCAGGTGGTGATAGGTGCTATAAAGAAAAATTAGGCGGAGTAAGGGATGGAAGAGAGGCTGGCCTGCAGTTTTGGGTAGGGTGGTTGCAAAGATTTGGGATCAGATTCTGACTCTCCCATTTGTTAGCCGTGTGATCTTGGACAGGCTCCTTCACCTCTCTGAGCCTCCGTATTCTGATCTCTAAAATGGTAATGATGGTTCCTCTTTTGGGGAGTTATTGTGAGAATTAAGTAAAAGAATTAAGTAAAGCTACTATCATAGCGCCTAACCCACAGTAAGCACTTCCAAAAAATCTTTCCTGCCATTACATCATAAGGAATGATGTCAGTTATAAGCGTGGTACAAACAGTTAACCAGTTTGGTGTGAAGATGAAGTGTGAGGAGTAAGGGGGCCCCTTCCACAGCCATCATACCTCACTGCCCCTGTTCCAGAACCCTCCTCTGATCCCATGGAGTCCTGGGATAAGAGGAGGGAGTGCATGGTGCTGGAGCCCCCAGTGGGCTCCATCAGCTGTGCTGCTGGTGGGAGTCCTTCCCTAAGCCCAGTCTCGATGGGAATGAAGAGTTTGCCTCTTCCATGTAGGGTACAGCACCCCAACCTGCACCCAGGAGCTGGCCACTGCATTGGCTGTAGAGTGCCTATCTCATTCTTCAGACCTCTCCAGCCTGCACCCCTCCCCCAGCCCCTAGGCCAGGCCAGCTGTCTCTGCCCAGGTGAGGATTCCACTGGAGCCCTGGCTTCTCCTACTGCCAGCACCCACAGCTGGCTTCAGAGCCTGCTGAGACCCAGCTTCAGAGCGCAGGTGCCAGAGGGGCCAGGCAGCCCTGGGGTTGAGTCCTGGCTGTGTCATTCACTTTGACCTTGGGCAAATCACCAAGACGCTCTGAGTCTCCAGTTCCCCTTTGGCTGGTTGAGGATGGAAAACCAAACCAAACCCGTTGCCGTCGAGTCGATTCTGACTTATAGCAACCCTACACGACAGAGTAGAACTGCCGCATAGCGTCTCCAAGGAATTGCTGGTAGATTCAAACTGCCAACCTTTTGGTTAACAGCTGAGTTCTTAACTACTGTGCCACCAGGGCTCCATGGCTGAGGATGAAAGGGAGGAGTAAATGAGACCATTCAAGGGGAAGCACCTGGCACGTGGGAGTGAGGACCTAACGTAGTTAGCTCCAATAATCACCAGGAGTAGCACAAGGCCCCAAAGGGCAGCAGGCAGGATTTATGTTACACAGAAGAGAACTTGTGCCAGGTTCCATGCAGTTCCTCAAACACACCAAGCACTCCTGCCACAGGGCCTTTACACATGCTGTTCAGTCTGTCTGGAATCCTCTTCCCCAGATATGCACATGACTCACTCTCTTAAAAGACCTTCCCTAAGTGCCCCATTAAAGAATAACAGACCCCTCTCTAACATAGGAACATACCCTGAAAAGTCCTGTACCGGATGGCTTCCCTGGGGGAGAGAGTCCCTGGGTGCCTCAAATGGTTAAGAGCTCAACTAATAGCCAAAAGGTTGGTGGTTTGAATCCACCCAGAGGCACCTTGGAAGACAGGCCAGGCAATCTGCTTCTGAAAGGTCACAGCCTTGAAAACCTTAAGGAGCAGTTCTACTTTGCACACATGGGGTCTCCATGAGTCAGAATCAACTCAACAGCAACTAACAACAACACAGCATCTATACTTACAGATGACTGCGCTGGCGAATTCTACCAAACATTCTAGAAGTGACTCCAATTCTTAAACTTCCCAAAAACTGAAGAGGAGGGAATGCTTCCTAACTCCTTCCCTGAGGTTAGCATTACCCCGATACAAAACCCAAAGACACCACAAGAAAACTACAAACCAATATCCCTTATGAATACACATGCAAAAATCCCCAACAAAATACTGCCAAAACAAATCCAAAAGAATATTAAAAGGATTATACATCATGACTAAGTAGGATTTATCCCAGGAATGCAAGGGTGGTTCAACATTAGAAAAGGAATCAATGTAATACACCACACAAGTAGAACAAAGACAAAGAACCACATGATCATCTCAATCGACACAGAAAAGGAGCATATATATCTGGCACCGTCTCCCTTCCCTGCCTTACTTTTCTCTGTGCCACCTCTCACCATCGGATGTACTGTTCAGTTCGCGTGTTTGTTTATTCTGTCTCCTGCCACGCACGAGAATGTTGTGCCAGGAGAGTAGGGAAGTTTGGTTTTGTTGTTCACTGCTGAATTCCCAGAGTGTCTGGTACATACTGTTATTGTTGTGGGGTGTCATCAAGTTGATTTCAACTCATAGAGACCCCTTGTGACAGAGGAGAACTCCCCATAGGGTTTTCTAGGTGATCTTTATAGAAGCAGATCACCAGGTCTTTCCCCTGCAGAGCCGCTGGCTGGGTTCAAACAACCAATCTTTCAGTTAGCAGATGAGCACTTAGCCATTGCACCACCAAGGCTCCTCTGGCACATAGCAGACCCTCAATATATACATGTAGACTGAATTAATGAAGCTCTGGAGATGCTGCAGCAGCAAGCCAGCACTCTGGCGAGGGTTGGATGACTGTCCTTTACATTTGTCCTGAGAAAGCTGGCCCTGGTTCCAGAGGACAGAGACACCTGCCTGTGGAAGTGGTAGGCTAATGTAGAACTAGGCCAGAGGGTCTTACTCCCACAGGAGGATGCACAGTGCAATGAAAACACAGCGTTTAGAGTCAGACCAGACTGGTTATGAGTCTTGACTCTGTTAGGACCTCAGTTACATCATGTGTGTAATGCGATGGTTGGCCTAGAGCATCTCCCAGCTCCAACATACATCATTCGATGGCTTTCATCCTCACTGGGCTGCCTCGCCCCTTCTGTTGGCTCCCACATCCTTCATCTTTGACTTCTGCTCCCCACCCACCCCTATCCTGCAGGAAACTGGCAGACTGTGCCCAGCTGCTGGAGGTGGATGACATGGTACGCCTCGTGGTGCCCGACTCCAAGTGCATCTACACCTACATCCAGGAGTTGTACCGCAGCCTTGTGCAGAAGGGACTGGTGAAGACCAAGAAGAAATGAGGTGCTGACCGACCCTAAGGGCAGAGGCAGGCAGGGCGCCCAGCTGACCAGCCTGAGGCCCCGAGGCTCAGTCTGCTCTAAGCAGGGCGCAGAGTTGAGCTTGGCAAGGGCAGGTATACCAGTCCGACCTGCATTAAAAGTACTTTTGTAAACCCGTCTGGCCCCTCTGTGCTCTCTCCCTACCGCCCCCCCGCCCCGGGAACCTGTCTCTTCTGGGATGATACATCCTGACCACAGGAGTTGGTTTCCTCAGCCACCATCTGGTTCGATCTTCTCAACAACTGTCCAAGGTGTTTGGAAAGAAAATAGCCCAGTGGGTGGGAGTTGGACAGTGGGAGTCAGGCAGATCTGGGTCCCACCACTAACCAGCTGTGTGGCCTTGGGCAAGTGGGTTAACCTCACTGAGCCTCCGTTGACAGTTCTGACAGTTCAACCTCGTGGAGGTGTTATGAGGATTAAATGAGAAAACGAAATAATAGGCCAAAATGGTCAATAAGTGGTGGCCAAAACTAAACAAAACCCCCAAACCTTACAGTTCGAGCCAGCAGTGGTGCTTTTCCCAATTCCCTTTTCCTCTTTCCACTTTCCATACTTCTCCCAGATCAAGGGATTCCCAGGCAGAAGCTCAAGCAGAAGTCTCTAGAAATCTCACCCAAACTGACCTAGCAGGGAATGGTTCCCTTGACTTGAATACGCGGCCACATCTGTCTCTTGAAAGCCAGCAGCTTCCAGGAGCTTCCAACAACTGCAACCAGAAAGTTCTTCCTTCAGTTTAAATTAATCCCTCCAACTATGGTGGAAGTTCTGGTTTGTGTTTTTCCATTGCTCACTGGAGATGAACCCGAGATGATTATGATTTCCTGCCGACAATCCTGTCTGCTTTACCGGCCTTTTGGAGCATGTGTGCTGATAAGAGCAGCTTGTGGGGTAAAAAAAAAATATATATATAGCCAGCTTTGCACAAGGCAGGAGGTGTGGACTCTGTACTGACTGGCGGTGTGTTGCTGTGTCCCATTAAGTCATTCCAACTCATAGCGACCCTATATGACAGAGTAGACCTGCCCCATAAGGCTTCCTAGGCGGTAATCTTTATGAGAACAGATTGACAGGTCTTTTATTCCACAGAGTCGCTGGTGGGTTTGAACCATGACCTTTCAGTTAGCAGCCGAACGGTTAACAATTGCGCCACCTGAGCTCCTTGATCAGCAGTGTGGTGGACCCAGGCAATCCACTGCAGCACTCTGGGCCTCAGTTGCCTCATCTATAAAATGGGGATGCTACCCTGTGGACCTTTCAAAGGCCCCTCTGGCCAAGGATGGCCCATTCTATCATAGCTAGCTTTCCCCACAGTGTTTAGGGTACACAAGTTTCAAGGCCAGGCAAGCTGTCAGCTCATGGGAAGCAGGGCTACACCATTATGAGATGGCAGCTAAGTCCTCCCTCCCCAGTCTTCGCTTGCTCACCCCACCCCCGCCATGAAATCATCCCACCCGCTCAATGAGGACTCAGCCGGATTGCAGAATTCCTCAGGACTTTCATGGCTATGCATTCCCATGGGTTTCCACGGCTCCCCTGGACTGGATGCTGGGAGGGGCACTGCTGAGCCCTGAGGCCTGGTCCCAGGCACTGGCAGCCTAATGGGTTCTGAAAGCAAGTAGTCAAGTGTCCAGAACAGAAGTGAGATTCTTACAGTTTGTGGTGCATCCATGGAAAGAAAAAGGCTTAACGCCTAAATCTGTGCATGTCTATCAGTAGTCAGTAGGCTGGGGGATTACAATCACTCAATCAGCAAATCATTCCATTGTAAATATGATTCCCTCCCCACGCCCCGCCTCCCACTCATCTGCTCCATTTCCTCCAGCCCCCTAATAATGCCTGGGTCCCAGGGGGATGCTAGTTGGCTACTGGGCTCATTCACTGCAGCTGGTTTGAACTCATCTCTCCAAAACTGAGGGACAGTGTGAGGGCAGGATTCCCACATCACAGAGTGCTGGAGGAGGACTGGCCTGCAACTCTGCAAACCTCAACTCCCCTGGATCTGTGGGCAGGAAAGGGAGTGGGGAGGGGCACACCTGTGGCCAGGTGAGCCTGGGAGGGGATCCACACACCATACACACACCTGGGGGCCCCCCACCCAACCCCAAACAAACAACTAACAACCTAGGAAGGAAAGAACAGGCAGGGAATGAGGGCCCAGACCCGCAGTCCATGAGGTGTGTCTGTCCACCATGCCAACAGGACCCAGAGCACAGAAGGGTCAGGTTTAGGTGGGCCGCTCCACTCCAAAGAGAAGGGTGAACTTTTCGGCATTCTCATTGAACTGCTTTGGGTTCTGTGCCAGCAGGTCAGCAAGATCCACCCGCAGAGGCTGATCTAGTTCCGGTTTATTCACCAGCACGTTGAGGACCTCCAAGACTGGGGAGAGAAGCCAGATCAGAACATCAGGGTGCAGGAAAAAACTCCAGGGAGGGAGGCTATGGCTGCCCACTCCCAGATCCCCAGAAACACCATATGCACTCCTTGGGGTCCCCAAGAAGGCTCATCTCATCTCTCTTGTTGTTAGCTGCTGTCAGGTCAAATCCGACTCACAGCGACCCGTGTGTGCAGAGCAGAACTGTGCTCCACAGGGTTTTCATGACTGTGACCTTTCAGAAGCAGATCACTAGGTCTTACTTCTCAAGTGCCTCTGGGTGGGTTCAAACTGACAACCTTTTGGCTGGTAGTCGAACGCTTAACAGTTTGTGCCACCCAGGGGCTCCAGGATGACTCTACAACCAACCAAATGTCCCACTTGTCCCTTGGCTGATGATGCCTGAAGCTTTGACTGGTTCTACCAGTGGTTTTCAAACTACGGCTTCAGATGAGGGTGGATGAGATCAGTAGAGTTTCTGGGTCCCACCCCCATTTCAACAAGAACAACTCTGTTTTTCTCTGTTTTATAGTAGGATTCCAAATAAATTCTTATTTGGGAAAAAGGATTCTGTGGCTAAAGATTGAAAACCACTACTGCCCCGCTGGCTTTTAATCTTTCACAGATACTTTTGGGAACTTGGTGAAGGCAGTGGCCCATCTCCTGGGCATATGCACATATGCACATGCACAAACATACAGTTCTGAGACAAGAGTGCTTCACAGGCCCCCTGAAATTCACCCAAACAAGGATCTGCCAGGTTCCTGAGTTAAGAACTCCTGAGCTGGTCCCAAGGCAGGACAGATTAAGCTCATAGGTTTTAGAGTTGCGTTGCCCAATACAGTAACCACTAGTCATTCTATGGCTATCTAAACTTAAATAAATTAAAATTAAGTACAACTAAAAATTAAGTACATGTTTTGATCAAAGACTAATAGATGGCTCCTGATCAAAAGGAGGAAAAGTATGGAACAGAACTTTACACTCACTGGGAAACCGGATTTACTGGATCCATTGAGACTGGGGGAATACCTGAATCTAATGCCTGGAAATAACCTTTAAACTTTGAACTGAAACTATCTCAACAAGCCATAGTTAAACTAAACACCAGTTTAGGCCAATTAATAAAGAATGTTTGCCTCAAGCATAGCGCTCTTATAAAGAGTTAGTTATATGTGTGTAAACTGACAACAGTTCATCTAAAGCACAGATGAGAATTCTAAGGGGTACAGAGCCTAAATTAATGGTGATGAAACAATAGGAGTACAGACAGTGAGAATGGTGACACAATGTGAAATATATAAACCAATGTTATTGACCTGTTTATGTAGAAATTGTGAATGAATTTTGGTGCTGTATACTGCCACCAAAAATAAATAAAATCGATTTTTTTAAAATTCAGTTCAGACAGACACAAAAGGAGAAATATTATATGATCCCATTTATATGAAGTATCTTGAATAGGTAAATCCATCAAGACAAAAGAAAACTGGTGGTTAGCAGGGGATGGGAGAAGGGGGGGGATGGGAAAAAAGTCATCAATGTCTGTTATGGATTCAATTGTGTCCCCAAAAAATGTTTGTCAACTTGGCCACGCCATGATTCTCAGTATTGTATGGTTATCCTCCATTTTGTGATCTGATGTCACTACCTATGTGTTGTAAATCCTAACCTCTATGATGTTAATCAGGTAGGATTAAAATGCAGTTATGTTAATAAGGCAGGACACAATCTACAGGATTAGGTTGTATCTTGAGTCAATCTCTTCTGAGATATAAAAGAGAGAACCAAGCAGAGAGGAGAGAGACCTCACTATCACCAAGCAAGAAGAGCCAGGAGCAGAGCACATCCTTAGGACCTGGGGTCTCTGCGCAGAGAATTTCCTAGACCAGGGGAAGACTGATGACCAGGACCATCTGCCAGAGCCAAAAGAGACAGAAAGCCTTCCCCTGGAGCTGGTGCCCTGAATTTGGACTTCTAGCCTCCTAGACTGTGAGAGAATAAACTTCTGTTTGTTAAAGCCATCCACTTTGGTATTTCTGTTATAGCAGCACTAGTTTCCACTTAAAATTGGTAAATAGTACTTTATGTTAAAAAAAGATACATCAGTAATCAAATAATGCATGAACTTTATTTAAGTCCTGATTTATAAAACAAAAACAACAACCATCACACCCAAAACAAGAAAGAAAAAAAGACAATTAGGAAAATGTGAATACTAATCGGATATTTGATAGTAAAGAACTATTAATTAAAAAAATAGGTATACATACAGAAATCAACATTCTTTGGTATTTACCAGAGATGGGAGGGGGATAGAAAGGGAGGGAGCATCACTCTCTAGGAAGTAGATACTTGGGATTTTTGGTGATGGGGAAGGAAATACAGAATGTGGGTGAAGTGTGCACAACTTAACGAAGGTAAACTATGAGAATAAGTAATACACAAGATTAAGGGATCTTATAGGTAAATGCTATAACATATACAATTTGGCAACAGCAGCAGTAACAACCCAAAAATACGTGAGTGGTTACACAGGCAGATACATATGTGTATTATATGTATAGCAAGGTGTATGTGTGTATATAAGTATGCGTATATAGGTGTACCTGTAAGCATAGATAAATACATATTTGTGTGTGTTGCACATGTATTCATATACATAATAAAGCACATAAGGGACATAGCAATGGTTACCTCCCAGCCATAACCAAACACCTCGTAGGATTGGTTTACTGAGTTTGAAGGCTTAGGACCATAGTCTCATGGGATAACTTGGTCAATTGCCACAACACAGTCTATAAAGTTTATGTGCTACATCATAGTTTGGTGAGTAGCATCTGGGGTCTTAAAAGCTTGTAAGCAGCCATCTAAGACACAACTATTGGTCTCCACTCATCTGGAGCAAAAGTGAAAGAATGAAATGAAAAGACTCCAAGAAGAATCTAGTCTACAGGACTAACAGTCCACACGAACCACAGCCTCAGCTATCCAGAGACCAGAAGAACTAGATGGTGCCCGGCTACCACTACTGACCATTTTGACCAGGGACACAATAGATGGTCCCAGATAGAATGGGAGGAAATTGTAGAACAAAACTCTAGTTCTTATTCAAAAAAAAAAAAA